GGGAGTGATACGGCCATCACTCTCCTTTGTCCACTGGGAACTGCAGGCCCCAATCATCACTGAGTTCACTCTGAAGAGTGACATGAACACTGCCACAGGAGAACGGAGTGTGGAATTGAGCATTCACACTGGCATGTAATCCTTCCCTGAAACCAGCTGGCTTTTGATTTCTATCAAGAGGATCATGAACTGTACTTCTCAAATGTGTTTGGAAAGTGAGATACGCGGAAACCATAAACTAGACATAAAATACCATGTTTTAAACTTAAAAGTACTTTTGTTCGATTTTATCCTAAATTATAGGTGGATCTTATATGGAAAGCAAAGAATATGAGCAAAAACTTTATGCAAAATTTGTAGAAAGAGCTCAATATTGAAAATATGCTGTAATTTCCCCATGAGTTTACAAAACAATAGTAATTTAGAACCCTTCAACAAGCACAACCCCAGGCTCAAGAGAAGCAGTGTTAACACTCACTAACATATTCAAAATATGAATGAATATTGAGACACACTGTATGATGGCACTACAATTACTGAAAAACCACGATGTAGGTGTAGGGTACATGGGAAATTCTCCATTAGCACCCACAATCTTAGTAAATGTTCAATTCTTTAGAAGTAGCCATCATAATGCAATGTTTAAAATAGTAAGTTATTTCAAGATTGTATTTGGTTTGCTTTTAAGATTTGAATATTCTCAAAACTATGAAAGTGTATCAAACATTCAATTTACACAGTTATCAGAGGATTTTTTTAAATAAAAATTTTGCATTTGATTTGGGCTACCAATAATACATTTTGTGTACATTTTAAAAGTAGGAATATGGGACCAATACTGCTGCACTGCACCTGCAACACTAGCATCCCAAATGGACACCTGTTTAGGGTCCCGATGCCCCACTTATGATCCACCTTCCTTTTCGTATCCCTGGGAAGGTTGGAAAGTTCTTCAGCCCTACATCTATATGACACACCTGGAGGAAGCTCCTGGAGTAGTTTATGGAGGCTGTCTCTAAGTAACTGCCTTTTACATAAACTAACGCTTTAAAAACAAAATGAGTGAATGCTAATTTGGGGGAAATGATTACAGAGAAACTAAAACAAAGAGCAACTGAGAGTGGGTACAAAAGACACTAGAATGTTTTCACATTCATACTTTCAATTGTGTTTAAAACTAATATGACGAAGGCAGAAAGATAATCCTTTTCCTGCCTAGAGCAAGTTAAAAACAAGTCAGGATTAATTTATGAAATATTGACTAAGCATCTACCATATGGCAAGGTACTCTAGTAGGTGCTAACAATACAGAAATGAACAAGAAAAACAAACAAAAAAACTAGCTGAAAACTTTGGGTGAGTTCACATAAATACAACATAAGCCTGGCCACGCTAACTACACCAGTAAGGAATAAAACGACTTGGCTCAGTTTGCCCCCTTCATTCAGTGATTTCAAGGTGAGGATGGACGTGCAAAGAAACGTGGTTAAAAAGTATAGGCTAAGAATTTTGAAAGTCACTTGTGTGGGAGCTGTGTGCATGTAGTGTGGTCTTCTGTGAGATTATGCCACAGCGGGCCAGGGCCAGAAAGCTCAGCAGGTGATGGTACAGTCCATATCTCACATACAGGCGCGGCTGTAGGAACAGGTGAACATGCAGGTAGAGGGCTGCATCACTGGTTTGGATGAATGCAAGAACTTTGTACTAGGTGCAGAACAGATTCATTCTAAAAGTCAAGAAAACAACTAGGTTGGATCATGCTAAAAGGAGGTAATGTTACTTTGCTACAAAATGTCTCCAACTAGAAATGATCAACAAAGTGAGAAATTATGGAGAGGGCAATATGGTGTATTTTCCTGTTTAACAAAAGAGATACATGCTGGAAAGAGGAAATAGTATTGCAAGAAATTTAAGGTATAGTAAAATGTGTGCTAACTACAAAACAATGTTTCTCCTTTCCTGGCTGGGTGTCAAGCTCTTAAAAAAAAAAAGTGGTCACAAACAATCCAACTCTCATGAATTATTGATTAATAGGTTACATCACAAAATCTTATTGTGTGCGGTACAGGCAGCTAGAATTGTGATGAGTCAATTTATAGGTACAATTTTTAAGATTTGACGTATTATTTTATATTAAGGCAAACATACGATATCTGACCTTTTGTGATTGGCTCATTTCCCTAAGTATAATGGTTTCCAGTTGGGCCCATTTGGCTATGAAGAAATCTATTTCCTTTTTTTAAAAATAACTGAGCAGTATTCCCTAGACAAAGATTGTTAATAACCTCTTATCACTGTTACTACCATGACCCATGGGCAACAGTGATCTAGTCCATACTGTACTCCCATTTGAACCACACAGGTCACACGCTAGCATTAATTTCTGAAGGAAGATATTGGAGACTCCTTTGCACCACCCTAGTGTCACACTGATACCCATGCTACGAGTCTGACAACACCCTGGAGATGAAGACTCACTACTTTATTTTTTTTAAAGATTTATTTATTTTCCTATAAAACTGTATCACATAAAATAAATTTAAAAAAAGGTAAAAAAAAAAGATTTATTTATTTTTACTGGAAAGTTATCGGGGGTCCTCCCGCCCCGCGGAAGAAATCACCCAACACTTGAGAGTCTCCAAGGCGCTTTATTCCGATCTTCTGTCAAAACCCGTTATGACTGTTAATTCCGTTATGCTGACGCCCCTCCCCCGCCAAGGCTCCCCCCCCCCCCCACTTATCTGTCAAACCTGTCCAATCAGCTTAAAGATAACCAAGGCACACCAGTCAGGGCAAAAGGCCAATCACAGGGCAGGAAATTGTCAGTGCCCCCAACAGAAAGTCAAACATACAGAGAGGAGGAGAGACAGAAAGGAAGATCTTCCATCTGATGATTCACTCCCCAAGTGACCACAATGGCCGGTGCTGCACCCATCCCAAGGCAAGAGCCAGGAATTTCCTTCCAGGTCTCCTATGCGGGTACAGGGTTCCAAGGCTTTGGGCCATCCTCTACTGCTTTCTCAGGCCACAAGCAGGGAGCTGGATAGGAAGTGGAGCGGCTGGGATTAGAACCAGCGTCCATATGGGATTATGGCACGTTCAAGGCAAGGACTTTAGCCGCTAAAATAATGGATGTGTAGTGCAAATAAATATGCCCATAAGCAGAAACAGAGACAAGCATATCCCCCCATACATGCAATACAAGGATGGTCTCAGCGAAATGACAGATAAGCCCCTACATTGTTGGGAGACACTCGATGGCAGTATGATGGACTTCTGAGGGTACTGGGAAGACACTTACTGAAAGACTGGAAGGGAGAACAATGCCGGGGGGGGGGCAGGGAAACCCCAATGTCTATTCAACTGTGTCAAAAAATAAAGAATAAAAAACCGTTGGAAGTGGCAAGTACTAGTGGCAGGGGGTACGTGATTTAAGAAGGTGGACAACCGGGGACCACTATACAATATTAAGGTCAGCGAGAGGCTGAGGCAGCAGGGATTACTACTGAAACTGCAGTTCCCATAGTCCGGAGGACGGTAAGGTTGCCGTAAAACTATCATCAACAAGCCAACCACCCTCGGCTTAGAGGACTGCAGAGCTACAGACACAAGGTACATCAAAGAATATGTACGGTCACGTTTCACGCACCAACAAATAACACATTTCCTTCCACAATCGCCAAAGGAAGTGCAGGAAGAGAAAATTTCCATCTATATTCAGGATTAGACTTTCTAATTTTAAAATGCTAGGGTTTAGCTGCAAGGTTATTTTAGCTCTAAAGGCTTGTGAGATTACTAATGAATCTTATAAAATCCTGGAAGGTGTTTAAGTGCTAATCTCCACATAATAATAATAAATCCTGCCACAGGTATGGCAGATTCTAGGCACAGATTTCTTGAGCACCTATTACATGCCAAGCACACGCGGGATGGTATATCCTGTGGCTTTTTTTTTTTAAAGATCTTAATTGGAAAGTCAGATACACAGAGAGGAGGAGAGACAGAGAGGAAGATCTTCTGTCCGCTGGTTTACTCCCCTAGCGGCGGCAGCGGCGGGAGCTGCCCCATTCGAAGCCAGGAGCCAGCAACCTCCTCTGGCTCGCCTGTGCAGGGGCTGTCCTCGACTGCCTTCCCAGTCGCTTTTAACACCGGCAAATGTCACATCGCCGTTCTGCATCTCCATAGCCATCCAATGATGCATTGTTTATTTATAACCACATCACTCGATGTGCGTCGCGACTCTTCCTGCACAGAGTTGACGGGGTTGCAAACCCAGCATGCTCAAAACGTCTCTGTGGCGTTTCTGGGATGTTACGTGCCTGGGTCTTTCAGAACCTCACCCCCCCACTCCGGCCCAGGACTCCTCTGGAGGGCATCAGCCTCGCACACACTGACCAGGAGGCCTCCAGGACCTGACCCTGCAGCCTGGCCGCCCACGGGCGGGGCCAAGGTGACGGCAGGTGAGAGGCTGCACGGCCAGGAGGAAGTGAGACAGGCGCGGGGTGGCGATTACTCATCCCGCTTTCCTGCGCAGCGGGCTCTCGCAGGCGGAACTTGTCCAGCCTCATGGGGTTCGCTGGGGTGGGAGTCGGGTGCATGGGAGATGGCGGGGGGACGCCGTGCTAGGGCTGTCTCGGGGTGGACGCTGTGCGCTGTCCCCGCCGGGCTGCCCCCCACCTCCATCACTCGGGTCCTTCCCTAGTCCACCCCGCCCCAGGACCACGGCAACTCCCCGGGGAGCCCAGAGCACCGACACCCCCATTGCTGCCGCCACCGCCGGGTCCAGAAGGGAGACAGAAGGGGCCGGCCCCGTCCGGTCCGTGTCCACCCCCCGCCCGGGGACAGCAGCGGCGGCGGGTGTGGCCAGCTCTCTCTGAGGCAGGACTCCAATGCTGACTCCAAGTTTTCTTTTTCTTTTTTTTTCTTTTTCTTGTTGTTTTTACCTTTCTCGCTCCCGCTCCCCGCAACCCCCACAGATCCCCCGTGCCCCGCCACCACACCTGAAGCCAACTTTTCCCTCAGCCCTCGATTTTCAAACTCCTCCAACCAAGCGAGCCAGCGTCCACGGGGGTTGCCGCAAACCATCCCGTCCCTAGCAACAAGGTTGCGGCCGTAGAGCGAGCGCCTCTAGGTGTCAGGAAGGTGATGTCGTAAAGCCGCGAGTGTCGTAAACCAGGTGCGGTGGGGAGGGGGAGGGGGAGGGGTGGAGGCGGCGGGGTTGGGGGGGGCAGGGGGAGGGAGGGAGGGAGGGAGGGGGAGGAGGTGACTCGAGCATTTAGACACAAGCGAGAGGATCATGGCGGATGGCCCCAGGTGTAAGCGCAGAAAGCAGGCGAACCCGCGGCGCAATAACGGTGAGCGGCCGAGGGGCCCGGGGAGCGGCGGAGGCCGGGGGGAAGCCGGGCAGTCGGGGCGTCCCCGCCGGGGCTGAGGGGGGCGCGCCGGGCCGGGGGGCGGCCGGGGCAGGGACGGGCCAAGTGGAGTGGGAAAGTAGAAAGTAGTGCTGTGCGCGCGCCGCGGCCGCCCGCTCCGCCTGGACCGTTATGTCTCTCACCTGGCCTCTCTCCGCCTAGCGGCTCCCGCCGGCCTGGACCGTTAGCCGCCGCCGCCGCCGCATCCCCGGCCGCCGGCCGCGGGGCGCCCACTCTCCCCGGGGCGCGGGCCGAGCGGCTGTTGCTTCTTTCCGCACTTTTCCCCACACTCTTGCGCCCCTCTCTCCGCCTCCCCCTCCCTCACCACCACCTCCACCTCCTCCTGCTCCTCCACCTCCTCGGTCCTCCTCAAGCGTCCTTCTCCCTCGGCGCCCCCCGAGTCCTCCCCGCACCCCTTCCCCAGGAGGAGCCCAGGAACAAACTTATGCCCCCGGGGCGCTGACCGTGCAAAGTGGCTTCCGCGCGCCCACGGCCACGGGCACGGGCACGGCCGGCGCTCGGGGGGCCCCCCGCGGGCTCCCGCCGGCCTGGCGGGTCGGGGTCGGGGGGCCAGGGCCGGGCCGGGCCGGGCTTTGCGGGGCGCGCGGCGGGGCGGCCAGGCGGGCGGGACGGGCGGCCGCGGGCTGGGCTGCGTGTCGTCCGTGCGCGCGTGTGCGCGGGCGCCGGCGGGGCGCGCCGCGGGGCTGCCCGGGCTGGGCCGGCGGCGGTAAAGTTGGGACCGGCGGCGCTCGCGGAGTGGGGGCGGCGTGTGTGTGCGTGTAGGTGGGTGGGTGTGTGTGGGGGGATTCCAGGCGAGGGTCCCTAAGTGCCCCCTCTTCCTCTGACCACCGGGCCCTTCTGCTGTCCCCACTCCTGCCCACTTCACCGCCACCACTCCAAGCCTGGGAGCTGGGAGCCCCCCAGAAAGGAGATCCTCATCTTGGGGGGGGGGCGTCCTGTCTGCTGCGGGGGAGCCATGGGCGGTGCATGGCGGCCGGCGTGTTTGTGGAGTTGTTACCTGGTCTTGGGGACCCAGAAGCACCACAGACAGATCCCCTTTCCCCCTGTCCGGGCTTGGGGTGGTGGGGGCGGCCTTGCTGTGAGCGGCGTTGGCACCGCACCCCACCCCTGCTCACCTAGGCCGTGTGTGTGTGTGTGCGCGCGCGTGTGTGTGTTGTGGGGTACGGTGTGGCGCTGGGAGGGGGGCTGCATGTGTTAGTCCCCCCCCCCCCTTTTTTTTCTTTTTTGGTTTTTGGGGAAGTTGTTACCTGGGCCGGACGCTTCGGGAGCGCGCTGAGGCTGGATAATAGAGCTTGGGGAGGGGGGCGCCCCTGGGCTAGGGTGGGGGCGGGGGTGGGGGGCAGCCCACGGAGGGACAAGAGGACCGCCCGGTCCGCCGCTCTCCCGCAGCTGCAGTGTGGATTGGTGCGAAGGTGCCAGGGGGGAGACACATACCCCTCTGGCCTGGCATGTTGTGGGAGTTGAGAGAGGGACCCGAACATGTGGTGGTGGCAGCGGCCACAGCGGGGGGCTGTTCGGCGCGGCAGTCGCCCCGTTCCACTTTGGGGAGAAGCTGCAAGTTCCCGGTTTCTGGGGGGCCGTGGAGGCCGTGGAGGTGGTGGCTGAGGTGGGGGCGGGGGGCAGCCGCTCGCCCAGCTGTCTGCCGCGTGGTATTGTCTGGACAGTTCCTGTGGAGGCTGGGTGGGGTGGGGGTGCGCGGGCGCCCCCCAGGCCGTCGGTGCGCCCCCCTCCTTGGGTACCTGTTTGTCTGAAGAATGGGCGGCGACGGCCCTGCGGGCGGCGGCGGCGCCCACGGCTATATAAGGAGTGCCGCGGGCCGGCTCGCCTCGGACCCGCCGGCCGCCCAGGGCTTCTGCCGCCTTCTTTATTTATTTTTTAATGAAAAAAAAAAAAAAGAAAGGAAAAAAAAAGCAGTCGCCCCCCCCCCATCCCCAGAGAGAGGTGGTGTGTATGTGTGTGCGTGTGTTTGAGGAAGGGATTGAATGCGACCTCCACCGGGATCTTGGTGCTGTGTAGAAAAGAAAAGAAAAAAACAAACACAAACAAAAACACGAGGACCTGGGTGTCTGAGGGAAAAGGCGCGTGCTGCCCCCATGCCACCCCCGCACCCTGCAGTCCCTGATCCCCTGCCCCTCCCGGGTGCCCACACGCCAGGTTTTGTAACCTTTCCGGGCCGGAGCCGATTGTGTGTGTGTGTGAGTGTGTGTGTGTGTGTGTGTGTATGCGTGCGCGCGCGCGTGCGGGGTTTCCTGTGGAGAAGCAGACACGCAGCCGTTGCGGCCGGGGCTGGAGGGTCCATGGCGTGGTGCACACGTCCTCCTGCCCCGTGGCCGCACACAGGACCCGAGCCGCGTGGCGCGCTCGCTCGTGGGCTCGGAAGGTGCGTGCGTTCGGGGCGGCTCGGGGTGGAGCGATGATGACTTGTCACGGCCAGGAAGGCGGCCTGGGCGCCGGCGGCGATGCTAATTTCCTGTGGTAGTGTCGAGAACTGCGTGTTCTCTCGCCGCTGAGGTGGCTTTTATGAAAGGTAAGTCGGCTCCGAAAGGGCCCGTTTGCTTCTTTTCCCACCTGATTGGCAAAATAAATAAATAAATGAATACATAAAAACAGGTTTGGGGGCCGAGCCAGGAGGGGGCTTTTCTGGATTGCTGACGACATGTGTGTGACACACGAGTGTGCAGCACGCAGCCGCCTGTGCGGTGGCTGTAAACATGTTTACCTGCGCAGGGAAGGGATGGGAGACTCCGTGATGGGAATCTCACCCTCGTGAGGAACTGTCAACAGATGACTTAGGTGATGAGAAAAGCCATCCGGGAAGGGACTCGGAATCAACAGGGAAAAAAAAGAGGTCCTTGGTCGCTGCAGCAAATGGCAACTTGTGCAGGTAGAAAAAAAAAAAAAAGATGGTGTGTAGTTTTCTCCTGCATGCGTGTCTGCCCTCCCCTGTCTGCAGCTCTCCTTCTCCAGGGAGGGATTTATTGACCTGGCTTGCTGTCAGTGTTTTCCCTTTGTGTTTTCATGTGAGAAAAAACAGATTTGGGGCTGTCAAGCCCAGAAACGTCTCTCCTGCAGTGTGCATTACTCTCAGAAAACAAAAGGTGTTTCCGAGAGAGCCCTGTGCTACTCCAGGTATCTTCCATTTTCATCACTTTTGGCTCTGTCCTTGTATTCCTGCTTTCCTCACAGATGCGGTTCGTTCGTTCATTCGTTGCTGACCAGTACAGCCATGTTATTTGATTTCACCTTGTATTTTGCGAATTAAAAAAAAAAAAAAAAAAACGAACTTCTATGCCATTGTGTTGTGAAACCTCGGGCTAGGTGCCGGTTGATCATTCTTGGTAATGCAGTCATATTTAAGTTGCAGACGGATATTGAGAAGGATTACCTGGGGGTGGGGAGTGCGGTGCTAAGCCATAGGTCCTTTGGATGAGGAGAGAAGTGAGGTATATTCTGGGAGATGGTCTCACACAGATACTTTGTTATTTTTATGTAAAGAGCAGTTTATTCATTGTGAAATAAAGCATGCAGATTTTACTGCTAAGCCTTCAGTAAAACATTTTCATTTCCTTTCTGCAATATATCTGCAGGCTAGCATATTTACAGGGGAGTATCAGGTAACAGAAACTCGACAAGGATACGTCAATTGAAATACCACCAAAAGGTTGGGCCGAAGCGTCAGCCCTTGCGTGGGGCGCCTTGATGGGAGTGATGTCAGTCATCTACAAAGGGGAGACCGTAGAGCAACTTAAACCGATTGTTGCCAGTTATAATTATAATTGACTGCTTTGCTGCATTTTGAAAATCCATCTCTTCTCATTTTCCACTTTCCTGTGTAATGTGTTTTTCTCATTGTTCTTCCTCTGGAGGGGGGCAGGAGGGGGTGATCCACTCTAGCCACTACAGGTTATGCCACATGCTGATTAATTCTCTTGACTTGTCCTGGAATATAGCAGGTACATATCTTTTTGTCACTAGCACCATTTTGCCTTGCTGTCTTTGCAAACCACCAGTAGAGGATGCTAACAAAAATGGTTATTGGTGTAGCACCATACTAAGTGTCTGTGTGTGTGTGTGTGTGTGTGTGTGTGTGTGTGTGTGTGTATGTCTCACCCTCTCCCCACCTGTGCCTTACCCTGTTCCCACATCCCTTCTGTGTTGGCTGGGACCTACAGATTATTTCTTAGTCTTTTATTGTCATGTAGAAGTAACCCTAGGTGAATTAGGCATGAGCTTTTTCTAGTTTGCTGAGACTAGAAATAAGAATATTTTAGTTTGAGTAATTTGGTTGGTTTGAACTTTGTCTTGAATTGAGATTGTTACTGATTCATTCTTGCTTTAGACAATTACATCCCCCCTTTTTAAAAACGTGTATGTGTGTTTAGATTTGGGGTAGAATAAATGATGACGTTAATTTTGTGCTTTTATTATACTTTTACATACCCTTTTTATTCATAGTAGCATCCCTGAAACATTTAGATTTAAAAACATACATGGTTAAGTGTGGTTAATTGGTCAATTATACTTTGCAAGTACTTTCGATAATTAGTATGTAGACAATACTATAGATGGGTTGGAATACAACTGTTAAAACGTCAAGCAACTAGCAGCCGCTCAGATGCTAGTGATTTTTAGATTTTAGTTTTTCTTTCCCATTTAAGTCTTTTTCCTGCCAGTGGCCCTCCCTGTCCTCTCAGTTCAGAGTCAAGTATATAAATTTAAATTTCCCATGTCTAAGTTATGGAATAGAATTCTGTTTGCTTCAGGATTTTTTTAATGCAGTGAAAAGCTGCTATGATTTATTGCTTGTGTGCTTGCTTTCAAAGAAAGCCCAAGTTCCACTAGCTCTGTCTACACTTGAAATTATATGAATTTTGTATAAAAATAATGTGCACTGGGCTCAGTGTGTTTAGTGATGTCTTTTTATCTACTGTGCATGTAATTATGTTAACATGACTACAAACTTTAAGACTTTCATTGGATTGAAGTTTAGAAATACTTATTTCTCTAATTACTTTCAAGCATGTCTCAATAAATGCACCGATCCTGTTACCATAATGAAGGAGTTACACTGTTTATCTCAAAATGAGTAGGACGTACCTGAATTATCAGGTGAGCCTGTGTGAGTTTCTCATTTCCAAATGTCAGGGTTCTTCCAGTATGACTAAATACAGTGTTTCATTTCCTAACAGCTACTGCTGTAATTTGATGTTCTGTAGCATCTGAGAGCTCAGTAGTAAACAGATGTGATTCACTTATTTTGTCATGTGCTGTGGGACTTTATCACACAGTCCTGACATACGTGGTGCGTGGAACAGAACTTTGTTACAACCTGGAAGCACCAATCGCCCGTTAAGTAACCCTATGCAAAAGCATATGAAGTATGTAATCACTGTTTTTTTTTTTTGCTAGTATCCAGTATTTTTGAAATTCCATATCCTCTTGTGTTTGTGAGTTTAGTACTTTGGCGCATATGGTGAGAAACTTTTGTTGAATTGGAAATGATGTTTTTAAATAACAGCATCATTTTTGGTCATAGTTGTGCTTTATTTTGCTATGCCATCACCTCCACCCCACTCCCACTTTCTTGCTTTCGCTGTGTGAATCACTTGTCTGCATGTAATTAGAGTCAGATGTGAATATGGACGTAGTATCATGTGGAATTACACTGTTAGCTCCTGTTCACTACCTGTATTGAGTTGTAATGGAGGAGGAGGAACAGCACGTAGGCACTGGAAGACAGTGAGCCAAAAGTCAGAGAGAAGTGAGAGGGCTTCATGAAGCAGTGTTTAGATTTTAAAAAGGATTATTTGTAGCATGACCACCAATCTATGGGAACACGTATCTTCTTCATTTCTAGTAAAGATATAGAATAAATGAAAGTGCATTTTTGGAAGAATTTCTTTATGAAAATAAAGCTAATTAAGTTGTGCAGATCAATAAACATGGTAAAATAGAAATGTAAAATACTTTTATAATCATATAGCAATAACTAAATCATCACTTAACTAAGCATGAGATAAAATGTTGTATAAACTGATGCACATGCAGTAGGATAAAGTTTTGTATCAGCCCTAGTGAAAAGTTCATTTGGAACATGCTAGTATAAACAGACATCTGTCACGAAACAAGCTAACTGTGCTTTAGCTGCTGCACTTCAGTTTTTATGAAGTGATGATACATTGATCGTGGAGATCTGCACTTAATAATCTGGCCTTTATGTAGGTGTTTCCATAGGAGATAGTATTCCTTTTGGCTGGTAGTATTTTGAGTGTTGTATTCCTAAATGAGGGATTCTTAGAACATCAGTTTTACTACATAAAAAATTTCAGTATGTCTTGGTTATGTCTGAATTTTCACCTTGAAGGAGGTGGGTTAAGCTAAATCAAATATATATTTGTAGTTAGTTAGGGCCATGAAACTTTATTCGTTTTTGTTGTTGTTATTGTTTATTTTCTAAAAAGTAAATTTTCTCATTTCTTCCAGCAGCCTTTTATGGTTTAATAGCATTCTCTGTATATATAGATTGTGTTTATCTGTCTATATCCAGCCATCCATTGCTGAGCACATTCTGAGTTTTGTGTCCTGAGAAATGCGCCGTTAGGTGATTTTGTTATTGTGCGAATATCATAGAGTAAACTCCAACCAAGATAGCCTGCCACTACCAGGTGATGGAATCTTGTGAGCTATGCCTTATATACCAGGCCGAGCATTGACTAGAATCTCTTCCTGTAGTGTTTGACTATGTAGTAGCTCCTCCTTACTCATGGGGAGATGAATTTTTTACATTGTAGATGTTGGAAACCTTGAATAGTATTGAACTGTAGCATACATGTAACATACATGTAGACTCTTTTCTCCCCCTGTACACTTATACCTGTTTCAAAATTTAACATGTAATTTTTGTGGTTTAGTAGGTTAAGCTACCACCTGTAGAGCAGGCATCTCATGTGTGCACCAGTCTGAGTCCTGGCTGCTCTGCTTCTCCTGAGATGAGTGCATCTGGGAAAGTATCAAAGGATGGCCTAAGTGCATGCGCCCCCTCCCACATGGGAGACCAGGAAAAATTACTATTTAGGGAGATGAAAGACCTCTTTCTCTGTAACTCTACCTTTCATATAAGTAGAGCTAAATCTTTAAATTAGGCATGGTAGAAGAGATAAACAAAAACAGATAGTAATGTAATTATAATAAAATAGTGTAATTATAATAAAAATTACTTTAAAACTTATGAATTGTGTGTTTCTAGAATTTTCCATGTAATATCTTTTGGACCACAACTGATTGTGGTTAGCTGAAACTATGGAAGACAGACTGTGAATATAGGGGAAGTCCTATATCTACTTCTCCTCATAACTAATATAGACATCTTGAAATCACGGTTGTTCATAGAACATTTTATAATATAACTAGAAGCACTTTTTCTTTTGCAGTAACTTGCTGTGCTGCAAATTTCCACCCCTCTTCTTTTCTTCCCCTTCCCACCCAAACTTACAGTTAAATATGAGTAGAGGATATAACTGCAAATAATGTCTATTTATCATTTTAATGCATTCAGTATTGACAGTTCTTTGTTTTGGCTTTCAAAATATTCTAGTTTCAAATGTTTACATTCATTTGCCATTTTTATTTGTTTTTTTAAAGCTTCCATCTGTTGGTTCTTTCCCCAAAACCCAGCAACAGGTGGGTTAGAACTCAGTGCCAGCAGCTGGGAGCTTAATGTTGGTCTGTCATGGAGGAATCCAATCACTTGAGCCATCTGCCTCCCAGAGTACATTGGCAGGAAGCTAGAGTCTGAGGAATTACAGCGGGGAATCAAACCCAGACACCCTGCGTGTGAAAAGTGGGCTTCTCAGTCCCTAAACCGAGCACTTGCCCTCTTCTTAAAAATGTTTCTTCACATTTCTATCCAAATGCTTAGAACTTCTGTAAAGTGGATCATGCTTGAATGTAACTAGTTTGGTGATGAAAAAAAGTGTTTTCTTGAAATTATAGATTTTTAATGTAAATGATTATCTTTTCTGGAAACCAATACAGATAAGATGACATACATGAATTGTTTTTCATAAAGTAGAAACTTCAGAAGAGACTTGAATGTGCTTTCTCGGCAGGGGGGATGGGGTGGGGGAACGGATAATGCCAGGAGATGCTGTGACACGGAATCCTGCAAAATGCACATGCTCTGATCCTGGGCTCCAGTTACCCTGGCTCTGCCTTAGGTACTGAAGTAGCTGGGAGAAAGCACTGCATCTCCTTAAGGTTCTCTTTCTTCTGCCCTAAAACCAAGTGTCTGTTCATTCCTGTTGCTCCATCATTTTACCAAATCTCTTATTTTTTTTTCTTTTTTTTCCCCCTTGGGGAGGGTGGTACATGGGAGAGAGGAGTTGGAGTAGATAGAAAATAATTTTATATGAAAACATATTCAGAAAACACAGTGAATTAATTCTGGAGCTGGAAGGGTTTGGAAGAGAATAACGCAAAGCCAGTGTTGCAGAGAAGCCAACAGATTGCAGGAGATCAGATGACGGTCAGGGTTCCATTACTGATTGGCTTGGACTGGGTCACAACTTTCCGGATTCCTAGCTCTGTGTCCCTTTCATTCGACCATTAATGAACAAGAATAACATGCCATGACTTTCACATTGATTATAGTTAAAACCAAAATGTGTGGGATATTCAGTCTTTTCACAGGAAAGGATTTCTAATACAGCTGCAAAGATCCATCAGCTTAAGTAGTTGTTGTGACTATAAATACATAGTTAGTTTAGTATCAGAGGCATTCTTTCATTTGGATTGGACTTTTTAGTCATTATCTTCATCCTTAATGCCCTTCCCTGTTTCTTTCCTACCTCTCACATATGCCCAATCTGATGTGTTTCATGCAAGGATATTTGTAGGGAAAAGTTCATGAAAAAACAAAGATGTATTACTTTAAAAACAAAATAAAATAGAAACTGTGCTTGCATTTCAAAAAAATTTCTAAACAGATTAAACTTATGTTTTAGTTCAATTTTCTGCTTTGGAAGTAATCTTATATATGTTTTTGGTTGTGTAATAGTCTTATTAACTTTGTTCTTTGTGTGTTCCGCATTTTCATGAATGCTGCTTTGCTGTATCTGATTTCTTCCAGCATGGTTTGGGATCTGTGTTGGTGCTGCTGAAAATATGTGTGGCTCATTGCTTCTGTTTTTGTGTTTTATTTGCCCAGCTAGCACAAAACCCTCATCAGTTCTCATAATGATGAATGTCTGAATTGACTCCAACTTTTTAAATGCAGATAACTCAGTAATAAACATCCTTCTATATATTGTTGGTGATCATGAAAATGTTTTTCTGGGGTGGCAAATTATATGTAGCTGTGGTGTTCTGGACACATCTTTAACATCACTAAGTTCTACTGACTAGTTTTAAAATGGCAACACCAATCTTGTGTTCATCAGAAATGTATAAGAATTTCTGATTTCTTCCAGCTTTGCCAGCCTTCAAAAACTATATTACATCCTACATTCCACTAATTTGACAGCTGTTAACTGTAATCTAGTGGCTGCTTTATGTTTTTCCATTTACGTAACAGGGAAGTTGATAATTTCTTCGTATTCTGACTAGCCACCTAGATTTTCCTTCCATATCTGGCATGTTCATACCTTTTGCCCATATTTTGGTTGGGTTTTCATGTCTTCTTGTTAATATCCCAGGATTCCTGTGTACTCAAGATAATAATCCTCAATGTGTCTGTCATCTGGTAAATTCATGGCGCGTCAATCACCATATTTTAATGCATAGGTGTCTGTCAGCATTCCTAGCCCTCAGATTACTAAGGTATTTTCTTCAATTTTCATTTATTTCATAGCTTTGGCCTTCATACTTAGGTTTTGCGTGTTAGGTGGGGTTCACCTGTTGAAACAGTGTTTCTTTCCTACAGGAAACAAATAGAATGAGTAAGCTTGGGTTGATTTTGTGATTGTAAAGCTGTGTCAGATTGCTGAATCCCCCTGTCCCTGATCTCCCCCATGTGTAAGTCTGGCAGGGCAGAATATCAAGAGTTGGCAAGGTTCAATGACATACATGAGCCGTTGTGCTTGGTACCTGTTTTAAGCTAACAAATTCTTATCCTCTTGTCCAATATTAAGTCTAACTAATGAGAGTTACTATCTAAAAGGATGTTGCTATAAATTATGTTCATTGTTTTCTGTAGCTTTGACTTTATAAACATTGTTTAACTCCATTATCTGGCCATAATTATGTGCATTTGTCAAATCAATAGGCTTGCAATAAGAAGGCACTTTATTAAGTTGATGGCAAGCATGGCAGTGGGTTGAGCTTTTGACACCAGGATTTCAAATGCTAACATGAGTCTAAGTCCCAGCTGCTCCACTTCCCATCTAGTTCTCTGCTAGTGTGCCTGGGAAAGCAGTAGAGCATAGTACAAATGTTTGGTCCCCAGCCATGCATGCGGGAGTTCCCAAGGGAGTCTGAGGCTCCTGGTTTCAGCCTGGCACAGCTCTAACCATTGTCACCATTTTGGGGCATGAAATAGTGGATCCAAGATTGACCTTTCTCTCCTTCTCCCTTCTCTGCTGCTCTGCCTTTCAAATAAAAAAATGAGTGAATCTTTTTTAAAAAGTTGATAGCAGTGTATATTATGAAAAGATTATATATGGATTTTGGAAGTATTTTGCACCAAAATGAAACCTATCTTTTAATTTAATTTCCATGAACCTTTCTAAGGACTCTTGTATATTCTGAAGCTGTTTTATGTGCGGAACACCACTTTATGAACAGTAGTCACAAGGACTTCAAGAATAATGTCCCATTGTTTGCTGCATGAATCAAACAGTCCAAGCCCAAGAAAATGGAACTGCAGTTCATGTTTAAATAGCCTAAAAATATGGAGCACACAGGTTTTTGTACCTCTGTTTGGAGGGGAGTGTATTTAGGAAAATGTTACTTATCCCATGATATAGGAAAGGGCAGTCTTGAAAACAGTACCATGTAAGTGTATATGTAAGTCTGTTGTTTAATAAACTTTAATAATCTTCAGTAAGTCTACTATTTAACAAACTTTATTGAGGTATAATTTGCACACAGGGGTCACCCGTTGTGCATCTACATTCTGATGTGTTTTGAACATGTGTGTGTGCCTGTAAACTGAATGATGGTCAAGATGCTGAACATTTTCCTTGCCCCAACTGAAGTTGCCTTGCACGCAGTCTGAATCAATAGCCAATCTTCTCCTCCTCTGGCTCTGAGAAGCCAGTGTCTGCTTTTGCTCATCAGAGATCAGATTCATTGTTTCTAGTTTCATGGAAATGGAATTGTACAGTATGTGTCATAGTCGGCCTTTTTGGCTCAGCATCATGTTCAGATTCACAGTATCAGAAGTGCATGTCTTTGGTGGTGCTGAGTTGTATTGCATGGTGTACCTATACCACAATTTGTACAGCTGTTCACTTAAAATGGACCTATTTATTTCTGGTTCTTTGCTATAACTAATAAAGCCTCTGCGAACATTCCCATACAGATTTTTATGTGGACATAAGGTTACATTTCTGTTGGGTACATTTCTTAGCGGTAAAATTGCTGCACCAAAATATATTAAGTATATATTTACCTTGTAAGAAATTGTCAAAGTAAAACAGCTGTAGTTTTTTAAAGTTTCTATTAGCAAAACAGGAACTTTAGTTGTGCCACATTTTCACAAATTCGTGTCCTTGTTTTTCATTTTAGCTATTCTAGTG